TTAGTATTAAATATATTAATTAGATAGAGTTAAAGTAGAGATTACTGTATTTAGTAATATATAATTTTTAATAGGCCGACACAGTCTTTATAATTAGTGACTGTTTGTCTAGTTTTCATTAGCAATCCTCTTTTCTTTTATTTCTTGATATTTGTTTTTTTTACGCTTCTCTCCTATACACCTTTTTTTTAGTGCATCTTCTCTTAATAAGAAAAAATTTTTTTTAGTTTTTTACCTTTCTATGAATGAATAGTATCAGATTATTGCTGTTCAATTGTAGGGTAGCAGACAGATGAGCTCGATCCAGACTTTAGCAGATCTGGTGTGGCAGGTTGCTCATAGATGCCAATTGGGATAACTGCATGATAATGGCATATGGAGTCAGATATAGTTCTATTTGTATATTGTCTGTACTAAACATTTATAAATAAACTTTTAACTAGTTGACCATTGTAGCTGCCAAAGGTTAAAAAAAAAAAATCTAAATTTATATAATGATCTATATTATATATATTGTTTATTTGTTTACATTTTTTTGACCAATCAAATTAAATATCTGATATGCTAGTCTAGAAGAGACTGTCAGTTCTGAGTTGTGGCTAGTAGAAGATAATAGAAAAGATGCTAGGAAAATAGGTACTAGAGTTTTAGTAAACTTTATAAGAGTAAAAAATAGTATAATATAGCAGTTAAATAGATAACTTCTGTGACTACAAGTGTTAGATAACTATAATATATTGCATAAAACTAGGTTTGTATATATAGAACATAAAGGGTCTAATAAGTTTCCTATTGAGGATAAAGTAGTTCAAGTGTAATAACTAGCATCAGAAACTTGAATAGGTATAGCCTTAAGATATTCTCATAATACAAAGAGGATTGCATATACAGAAGGTTCAAATAGGCAAGACCTCTAGTTGGCTTGCAAATATGACAACTAGTATAGAACTTATATAGCAATATATAAGCAGACTACTTAAATTAGGCACCAAAAATGCATATATAACTAATTGTAACCTCCAATAGAAAGTAGTTCCTAGTAGCATACTATGTTTTATATACTTGAATAAAAATGTTACATTTCCAAGATAGAAACTTTAACTATAAAAAAAAAATAATAACAAAAAGCTTTAATTATTTCTTTAAATATAAAAAAAAATATTTAATTTAGTATTATTTATGATACTAAAATTAACAATAAAAAAGATTAAACTATTAAGAATAACAATTAAACTAATTTTTAAATTTGTTTACAAATAAAGAATCAAAAATTATTACTCATTAAGATTATACAGAAAGCATTACAAATTTAAAATAAAATAAAACAAAATAAAATTTTATTATTTTGGTTTAAAGAATTTTTTATAACCTATTGTTAGAGCAAATACAAAAAAATACTAATTTAAAATATATAGTATTAATAAAATAATTTTATAACTAAAATCTTAATTATATAATAAAAATAAAATAGCAATAAGCTATAATAACATTTGCAAATAATACAATTTAAATAGTAAAAAGTAAAAAACAAATAAAATAAATAATTAAAATTATTAAAAAAATTTTTTTTTAGATATTAAAGTAAAACCTTGTTTATATTTTTATTAGTAATTTAAAATAGTTATATATATATATTATAACATATATCAATATTTGCAGTCTGGGTTAATTATTAATCTACTAACTATACAGCTATTACTATTTATTTTTTAAATATTAACAGTGAGTCGATGCTATTACTATTTATATAAAACAAATAAATTGAAAATTATATATAAAGATCTCCTCTAACCTATTCTAGCTAGAACCTAATTTGAAATAGTTAGCTATAGCATTCATAGAAAATAGAGAGTGTAATGTCATATTGGATGCCAACTTGTAGCACAAATGTAGTTTAGAAATTTTTAATTTTAGAACTTATGATTTTATATATACAAAGTTTTTACTTGAACATTATATTAATAAAAAATATATATATATATATAAAAATAAAAACTCAAACTAATTTATTTGTAACCTAAACCTATTAAAGTAATCAAAGCTTATCTAGATTTGATTATTAAAAAGTTTTTTTGAGTTCAACAATATATAATTAAATAAATAAAATCAAACCTAATTATTATTAAAAATAATATTGAAATTAGTTGAAACTGAAAATTTAGAAATCTTTATTTAGATTCATAAAACTTATTAAAACTTACTTATATTTGTTTATTATAAATTCTATTTATAAAGCCAACCTCTAATTATAAAAAAAAATCAAAAAATATATTATTAAATTTTTAAAATTTTTACAATAAAATAAGACCAAATTTCAACTTCAACTAATTTCAACTTTAGTCATTACAATTGTTATAAATTCAAAAAAAATAAAAGACAAAAAATCAAATTTAACAATAAATAGATATATAAAGATAAAAATAAAATAATATTTTTAGGAATTTGGCTAAACAAACTAAAAGAAACACTAATTAAGTCAAGAGTAAAAGAAATAGTATAATCAACAATAGGAGAATTAAGAACAAAAAAATGATTATAACACAAGTAACATATATAAATAACATGTGCATAGTACCAAAGCTTATCTATATATTACAAGTAACAAAATTCTCAAAAAAAAATAATGGATAATATAACGAACATTCTAAAATTTAACCGTTTGTATTACATTATCCAGTTAAGTAAATGTGATTTGTGCTACAAAATGAACATCCATATATTTGACCGAGAATCTATCACTGGTTTCCGGGTCTCGAAAAGGTTAGATTATGTATTTCTCTCCTGCCTTTCGATTATCGAACATAAAATTTTATCGACCAATACCCTCCATTATTTTATACAAAACAAAGGTGATTATATTCATAATTCTGAATTTTTAAAATTGTTTCCAAGACTGATATGAATTTTTTTTTTTAGACTATTCCTGTAATATATTCGATGATGAGCTATAACAGACGTTTTTCGAATAATTCAATACACAGTAATAGTTCATCGAATAATTTGTCAAATAATAATGATTCGAATTCGATCTCTAAAACATCCGATATTTTAGAGAGTTTCTTGCATAAGCCTGGTACAAAGAAATTATAGATAGATATTGATAAATATATGCTATATAATTGTTTAATAATGATGGTTTCCTTTATAATAAAAGGGCTTGTTTCCTTTAATAAGCAGAATTCTAAATTAGCAATTGAAAATACAGAATTTATGAAAAAGTTAATATCAGGTGCGGTTGCTGAGAGAAAAACAAGCGGAGATATGTTTCCAAGAAAGATCATAAAAAAATGTTGCGAATTGTATAATAATCTCGATGAGGTATTTGCTTATAAAGAAAAGAACTTTATCTTTAATGAGGCCTGTTTAAAACTATTTGGTTTTTGCTGCACTATAATAGGAAGACAGAATAAAGTTCATAACTATCCTTGCTCGCGATTTTGGCAAGTGCTAAACCTTGAATTTTTAAATTTGATTAGAGTTGTAATATTTTATGTGCTTACAAATTTCATTTCAGGTGTACTAAGAGAAAACGTCATTGATGCCGCGCAACATTACGTGAATTTATCCAGTGCAGATGCCGTAGGCATTATTCTCGCTCATGCAGTTTTAACTTATGAAGTAGTTTCATTTGTTAGAATTAATCCATTAATAATTATAATCTATTATTTAGTATGGAAGAGCAACATTACGTGCTGAACAAATTTTGCGACACGCTATTATACCATCGCACAACATTTTCTTTGATCGCATAAACGAATTACCAGAAGGAACTAAATTCTTAATAGATATGCGTGCTGATTTATTGGTGAATTATTGGAATTTTTTATTTTATTTTATAATTCACATTTTCGATTGCTTCGCTTTTTCTAAAATTTTGATTATGTAAAGTCATTTATAAGGGAAAATGCCCATGAAGTAGCTCTTTCCGCTATAAATGAGAATTTGAAGGAAAAATTGTCAAATTGGTTGCTGGGATCCATCGATTTAAAGCAAATTACATGGAATTCACCTGTACAAATTTTGGAAAAAGTATGTTGAAAATCAAACAAAAATTGCGACTAAATTTATGCCTTAACAATGTTTTCCTTTGACAGATTAAAGAATACGAAGTAGTACACCCAATAAAAGATTGGCAAGATATGAAAAGGTTTTTATATATTTTGTGCTTTTGATAGATGTATAATTAAATTCTTAGTTAAAAATCACTTATTTTATTTTTATCCACTGAATAGTCGTGTTGGACCTGGTAATATATATTTGTTAAGAAAATCTTCATATCACACCGGATAATAATTTTGTAACTTTGGTATATTATGTATAGGGAGGCATATGTTTGCGTTTTTTTGTAGTAGACTTCCATATGAACCGCTTGTTTTTATTCATGTAGCTTTTACTAAAGAAATTTCAGGGAATGTGCAGGTTTTTTTTTTCTTATTATGGATTTTACACCAATAAGTAACAACGAATACTAAATTTACTAATTTTGTAGGTTATACTGGAAGAATCAAATCTCGAGACTTCTATAAAAGTACCTGAGGATATTAATTGTGCTATATTCTATTCGATTACCCGTCAACCGGGTTTGTCAGGAATTGAACTCGGAAATTTCTTAATTAAGAGTGTAGTTCGTAAGTTACAAGCTGAGTTTTCATCTATTGAAACATTTTCAACGTTGAGTCCAATACCTGGATTTCGTCGTTGGTTGGTCGCTGCAATAAACATTGAAGGTGATTCTATACTGGTAAATGGAGAAGCACAGAAGATTAAGGAATTGGGTGCTAGAACTAGTCCTGAACTTTATAAAACATTAGATAAGATTAATGCTACAAGAGTGCTATATAATATTATTAAAACAAATGAGTGGTCCAAAGATGAATATTCTGTCCAAGTGTTAAGACCTATTTTGATGAGATTATGCGCAAGGTAATCCATCAAACTGCTATTTAATGTAATGTTTTTTTATATAATTAACATTGGCATTATAAAAGATATATTCTTACTGAGAAGCGAAGAAACCTTGCTCTTGACCCTGTTGGTATGTTATAAACACTATATTAAAGTGCTTATACTATGCCTATTTGATATATTAGTAATTTTCTTTGGTTTCAATTATTTAAAAGCTAATTTTCATATCCGTAATGGCGCGTGTGTTTATCGCCTAAATTGGCTAGGAGATACATCAGGTTGTTTTGTGTGAATAATTTTATTATAAAACCGGATTACTTTACAAATTTGTTTAACCTTTAATTTATTGAATTTCAAGAACAAGGTTTTGAAAAGTCATTCGGAATAATGATAAATTATAACTATGTACTCGAACATCTTGAGGGCAACAACAGACAATATTTGAGTGATGGTACGATTACTATACCTTACGAAGATCCTGTGTTAATCGAAGAGGCTAAGAATTCTCCAAATGTCAAAATAATATGAGCTGTAAATCTAATATATATATAGATGTTTGTATCAGAACCTTTTGGGTCCGAATTTAATTACAAGCTGTGTTTAGATTGTTAATTTAGTACTTGATTAAAAATGCAGTAAGCAATAATATATTATAGCATAAATAAATGTGGCAGTTTATGCTGGGATTTTAATTTATTTTGATATTAAATTTTAAAAAGTTTTAGGGCCTTTTAGGGTTAGGTTAGGGTTTAGTAGTTTTGTTAATAAAAACATATAGGTGGCTTTTAGTAGATATTATAGGTTTAAATGGAGGACCCAACACCAGCATACGCCGTCACAATTACAGTCAAACTTTATAATCACACCTTTGGTTTTAAAATTTGGTGCTTATAGAGAATTTGTGCTTATATAGAAGTCAAGTTTTGACCTCTCTGTAGTCACCTCCTTTATAGTCACATTTGCTTAGAATTACAAACTTATAAAATTTGACTTGTTGGTTTTGGATCTTACTGATCGTGTTACGTTACGCCAATGCGTGATTGATTTTTTATTGGATAATTTTCACGTGATCGGGAAATTTTGAATTTGAAATCACAGCTAGCGCTAGGAATGAGTTACATAAATTACAATTTTATATTACACGTAAGTTTCAGGAAATTAAGTTTCATGTTCATCACATCATATATAAAGTACCAGAACAAAAGTTCTGCCAACATTATTGAACCATTTGATTTGAATGTACGATTCGAATTGTAACTCCTAATGTCGTGTTCAAATTTCAATTACATAAAATTTCAATTTATCAAATTTACGTAAAATTACTGTAATTTAACATCCATAGCTGTAACAATTTGTTGTGGCAGCTATGGTTGATCAAAAACAAAGTTTCCTTTTGAAAAGATGCACAGAAAAAATTAACATTTTATAAATAGTGCGCACAGAAAAAGGTTTCAGCATTCACAGTAAATTTTAACTGAAAAATTATCACTGTATAGAATGTGACTAAGCAATGTTATAAGCCTGCATCTATTATTTAATGTCGCGACTGAAACTTGAAATTTTAATTATTTTAATATGAAATTCTTAGAAATTTTTGGGTGCGCTTTTTTTAATAGTTAGATTATGATTTAGGTTAGTTTTGATAATAAAAAAGTATAAGTGGATTTTGGTAGGATTTGTAATTTTAAATTGAGGTCGCAACATTTAATACTAGCTAAAATTCATAGGTTGGAGTCGATTTAGGATGGCTTATTGGTTTGACACAATAAAATAAGTTTTTTTGTTATGAACAGATTTGCCAATATTAAGAAATGTCTCACGAATTTTTCTGATATCCATGCCCGTATCCTGAGTAGTTTATTAATTTTATATAAAATTAACAATCAATTCAATCGATTGACACCATCAGCACAATCTTTTATCGGCTTGACTCGCGATTTGCCAGCTCCTAAAAAAAATTATGCAGCTTTAACTTTTATGATAACGTATTTTTATTATTAATATAATCAACAAACTTTTCTTTTTTTGATTATTGCATATCGTTCTAATTTTTGATTACATGATGCCAAACGGTATATTCGAAGTTATCGACCGTTTAAGAAATCTGAAAAAACCTTTTCAAATGATGTGTGATATGCGATTGCAATAGGTATTAATAAATTTAAAACGATGATAGATGAGAAAAAATCCTTAGTACAAAGGAAAATACTATACTTTCAAATGTGAGATGAGATAGGCTAAAATTGTGTAATCTGACCTACCTACGTACGTACGTACCTTGGCGCCCTGAAAAAAAAAAATTTCGGTATCATTCGATGAGACAAATCAGACGATACCGATACCAAAATTGTGTGATTTCAATCAAATCATTCGATTCTGATCGGTCACATAAATAAAATTTTAACCTTAATGTTATGGAGAATCGGGTTATCGCGTTCGTTATCCTGTGATCAGAATCGGTATAAGTGTTGTGCCTCAAATCGATTTTGCCTCAAGTGACAATTGAAGCGCCATAGTTTGGCCGGCATTACTCAAAAAAGTCTCGACCATCACGTGATAAATATATTATACAGCTTTTTTTATTTCATTATAATTAGTTTTCGTTTTTTAAAAAAGTGCTTAAACTAGTGTTTGTACGTAGTCGATGTTGCATTAGTCAATAAAATCGGCTTAGTTAGCCGATTTTTCAAAAAATCGACTTAGTCGACTTTATATTGATTATAATATGATCCGAAAATTGGCGAAAAAGAAAATCAATGAACATAAAAACTTTTAGGATAATAAACACTAAACTGTAAAATTAAATTGAATTTATTAACCAATCAGGCATATCGGCCAATCACATGTTTGTCTTTCCACAATTTGTCTATTAATCAAATTTGTAGAATTCGAGTTAACATTTACACTTTGTCCTGGAAATGGAATACATTCCAAGTATGTATGCTTTTGGATTTTTGTTTTTCCCTTTATTTACACTTAAACTTTTATATTATTTAGTTCTTGCAGAACGTGAGCGTATTGCTGAAGATATATTAACAAATAAGCAATTGGTATGAATATCTCTTAATCTAACTTTATTATTTCAGACTTATAATTACTTCTTGCAAAAGATTATAGATTATGATAGAACTCGCAATACAAACAGAGAAGCTTTAAACAAACTGAAAAAAGAAAAGGATAAAAAAAAAGTATGGGTAAATCTTGGTGAATTTTTTATAAAGATGGATAAGGATAATGTGAAAACCTATATTGAAAAAGGTATTATCATACTATTATTTCTTGATTAATTTTTTCTTATTTATCATTTATTTTTAAAATAGATCAAGAAAGTCTTGAATCTGGAATTTCTTCATTACGAGAAACCGTTAAAGAGAAAATGGCTGAATTGGAAAAATTGGAAACGGGTGATGACAAAATTTCAAAAGGATTTAAACTACGTGGAATGTCTTCAAATGAATTGTATAATATTACAAATGAATGAAAGATACCTAGGTTATATATCGATCTTCAAATTTAATTTTTAAAAAAGCTAATCTTAATAATGTGGTCGGATTGAAGAATTAGAGATGTCTCGGCTCTGTGAATTCAACCTGAAGAACAAACATATCTTCTAACCATATATGATAATGCTACCATTACATCTCAAATGCGTACGATTTCTCAACGGTAAAACGTTAGAAGTACTAACAAGACGGATAGAGGCTTGCAGAATAAAGGCAACCTATTGATGGGCTGTAAAAATTTATACATTGTCAATTGACTGCCTCAGAAGTTACTCAAAAGTTAATTATTGACTATCTTTTTAATAATCTTTTATGATAAAATTTGTGGTATTAATATACAATAATTGCAGTTGATTTAGTACTAGATAGATTATAAATTCATAAATTCGGCCTATACTATATTGATTTCATATAATGTTTGACCCATTTTCGACCCGTGACCGATCAACCAACCCGGATAATAACTATACTCTAAATGCGCATTTAAATTTTTTTTACTATGGCCCCAAGGGTAATGCACTTAGAGTTACTTAGAGTCGTGACTGTATTGTTAATAAATAGTAAAATAATCAAACAGTTACCAATTTCGATTTGTGGATTGCAGCTTTTGTTGTAAGGTTATTAATGGAGTACTCCAGTCTAGTGATTGGAAATGGTTTAGTCGACTAAAAATTTTATATAATATACTATGTTTGGTCGACTAAACCGATTCTAATCCCTACTCCAGTCTATAATAAAACATATAACCCACAACGGAGCACTCCATTAACCACCCTACTTTTTGCAATAGACAGAAATATTCATAAACTTCACAGTTTCGTATGTCAATTGTATACTACTAGACTCCTTGATCGAGGCATAAAATAACTACGTAAGCGTAATTCAGTAATTAATAATATCTAATAAAAAACCGAAAAAAAAGTTAGCTAGAAATTTGGAAAATTTTGATCACTTCAAACACAGTTACAGACGCAGTGTGTACCCCTGACTGCCAAACAAACTCGTAGAGCTCAGTATACATAAATTCACACAAACTTTATAGACGCATCCTGTGCCTCTATCATGCCATATGCAGTCACATAGCCATAATCTATGCGAACTTATATAACCTCAGATCGCATCCTGTGCCTCTGACCGCAAAACTAGTTCGTAGAGCTCAGTATATATAAATTCACACAAACTTTATAGACGCATCCTGTGCCTCTATCATGCCATACACATTTGCATAGCCATAGTTTATGTGAATTTATATAACCTCAGACCGCAACGTGTGCCTCTGTGCAGGCGTAAAAAGCAACAAACTAAATTTTAAAACTCTAACAAGTAAAGAAATAAATAACTTACATAATCTAAAAAATAGTTTTTAGACTAAAAAAAAATAATCAATTTCTTGGCTTCAGTACTGCAATAAAAATAAAGAAAATTTACAACGTTTTGATTTGATAAATAACGCGAAAATCATTTTTATGTAACGTTCCAAATAAGGAAAACCTTGGTTGACTCGGAACCAACGATCATGCGTATTGGTTAGTTAGAATATTTTTTATTTAATTTTTATTAAAAATACATTATTTAAAAACAAATTCTTTTTACTGATTATAAATTTAGAAAAAGTAATAAGAAAATAATTATCTTAAAAGAAAAGTTTAAGACAGTAAACACATATAAAAGATTAATAGACAAAAACAACAAAAACAATATAAATAAACAATTATAAAAAAATTTTTGTTATAATTTGCTTTAGTCATTAATATTTAAATTCTAAAAAATGGTGATTTTAGTATAGTGGTTGGGTTTTTATTCTCCAAGCAGTAGGTTCAGAGTTCAAATCTTATTAGTAGCAAAATTTTGAACAAATGATTCTAATCTAGCAACTTAGAAAATATATTTGAAGTTGTAACTTTGTAATTTTAGTTATATTAAAACTAACTTTAAAAATATGCAACATTATATAAATAAATCTAGAAAATATAAACTGTAATTAAAAGTTGGATACTAATAACTTAGAAGAGAATCTGGAATAGTAACCTTATAATTTTAGTTATATTAAAATTAACTTTAGAAGTATGCAATGTTATATAAATAAATCTAAAAAATATAAACTATAATAAGAAGTTTTACTTATATAAAAATTTCAAGTAGAAAAGTAATATAATTTTTAATAGTATTACTTATAAAAATCTTAATTCAAAAAAGAAAACTTGAAGCAAGTAACCTATATAAACAAGAACTTCTAGATAAAAAAAGTTTATTAATTTAATTATTAGTTAATCTAAGTATAAAGTTAAATTATGTAGAGTTAACTAAATTAGTAATATAAGAGGTCTTACAAAAATGTACAAAGTATTACTAAAATTATAAAAAGAAGTACTGAAATTGTATAAACTCTACAAAAAATATAGTGATTTAATAGTTAGTCTTAATTGTAAGTATTAATCTCAATCATAACAAAATATTAGATTAATTAAAAATTAGAATAACAGAAGGTTCTAATAGGTTTAGTACAAAGTTAAGATTTTTCATATAAGTAAACTGCTTTAACAATCTAGTAATTATGATATATTTGTAATAGTAAATACTAAAGCAGTTAGTAGAATAGATAAATAGATAAATACAAAAATTAAAATATTTAAATAAAGAATTTACAATCAAGTTTTAGATATAGTAGCTAGTATAGAACTTTTGAGTAAATTACTTAAAGGTAGAGTATACATAAATCATTTTTATATAGTTATATATGGTACATTAAAATTTTCATCTAAAATTGATATATGTTACTAATAAAACTTTTTTATTTTTAAATTAATCAATAAAAAAATTTTATAATATTATAAATAAAATTAT